TGACCTTGTTTTCCTTCATTTTTCCCTCCGTGGCCTCCAAGACCTCCTTTGCTTTCTTCTCGAACTGACGTCTTTGGGCAAACGACTGCAACCACCGCGATTGCCATATCAACTATCCGGTTCGTTACTTTGTATGGATTAGGCAATAAAATACTGAGGTTAGGTTTGGCTAACTACATTGATGTATTATTAGGGGACCAGAAGAGAGTTGTTAAAGGTTCGAGCTCTCGGTACCCCTGAGACAATGAACCACAATCAATTCCGAGAAGAACAAGTTGGCCGTACAATTAGATGCATGAAAAACTATGATGTGAAGGAGAAAACTTTCAAAAAAAAAAAGAATAGGCAAGGCAATTGACAGGGATTGGGCCAAGAGCTAGTTACTGGGGGATTTTTTGATGAGGATAAGATGCGGTAGCATACTCCGATCAAGAAGGCCCCAAAAAGGCCAAAGGTATTATTTTAAAAATCATGAAAAAAAGAATCACCTCAGAAATTTTCTCGTCCAACTCGCTTGTTTCCTCGTCCGCTCGCACAGCAGCGAGATCTGGAGACGGGATGTCGATCCTCTGAAGGAAATATCGTCACCTCTTTTATATTACTATTTCAAGAAAAAATCACAAGTTTTATGAGGAAGGACGCTTTTTTGCCTAATGAAAGGACATCTTCCAGTTTTTAAATTTGAGGATAGCGAGAAGGCAAGCTGCTTCGATCCGCGGGATACAATTGGGCGGCAGTAGGTTCAGTTTTCGATTGCGCATGTACTCACTAGACACTAATACAGGGCAATAGATAGTGAAGGTTCATCAGACCCGCCTGTAATAAAGATGGGGCAGATCGTTTTTCCCCTAATACAACCTCTAATCCGAAAGGGACCTTCAAAACAGATTGGTTTCTCGCTAGGGCCCGGTTTTACAATCTTCACATTTAAGGGCTGATCGACTAACACAAAGGTTTCATGAAAATTACTCCCTTAGTGAACTACTAGTACGACTTCTCGAGCACGTCATCGCGTGTACAAAGCATGGCCCACAGCCTAAACTGGATAGGCTGGGTGACAGAAAACCTTTTTCAACAGACCACTCGAGAAGCTGGCTATTTCAGTGGTCCCTCCCAGTGATGCTCAAGATTACCCACTGAAAACCTTAGAATCTTTTTCCTCGTGAGTATATCTACCCTTTTTGTCCCCTACTAACGCTTACGTCTTTCACTCACAGCGCAGTTCGGATTTAATTGTTCCAGTTTTACCATAAAACGGCACGGCATTTAAATAGTAACCAACCTGACTATTTGACATCACATGCGCTCCCTCCACAGCTGGTACGACATCGATGGCAAGGTTTTCATCCAAGATAAGGTCATCTGGAACATAAGATTTGTTAGAGCCCAGTGGAACCACGTCCATTGGCACTTACTTCGCCATTTCCCACTGATCAACTTGAATTTCGCCTTCTTCGGTGCATTTTCTGAAATGTTCATCGAACACTGAGTGTATGTTGTATCTGTATGACCATCAGCTTCGGTGACATCGATGAACTGGAAGTATGCCAAATTTGGCCCTATGTCCTTTAATAGCCAATTCATTACGGTGATTTTCTTTTCCTTTTTTTTTGGGAAATAAGCAAAGTGTTTTGATACCGGGTTGAGTTTGACTGGATCCGGATAGTTCACTTGGACCACTTGCCCTCTTGGTGCATAGAGCGTACAAATAACTGCCTTGTCGTACTTATCCTTGCCCTAAACAAGGAATGATTACGGTAAATAAACAATCCATTCCGACTATCAATAACTACCTGTTCCTTAATAAGGACAGCCGTATAGCTCAATGGCGACATCATTGTAATATTGTATATTGATGTGAAATTTACCGGGTTTGTGATCTGAACACGGCCAGCTCCGATCAATCGATAGCTATACTTTCAACAGACAGACACTTACACTAAAAGCTGCATTGCAATTGTCGAAACAATTTGGTGGGCTCGCATAGCACAGGCTCTCCGGTGGGCAGGTGAAGAGCACTCGGGGCTCCTGAACTCACAGGATTTCCAAGATAGCACCAAGAACTGGTAGCATATGAGAGGTAGTTTCTTAGGTTTCCGATTCTATGAAGAAGATGATGATGGGGGACCGTACCATACATGACTTCTGGGTAACACCTGTGTCTTCAAGTCAGAGCCTCTGAAATTACGATTTTCCCTTAGGATGAGGCTTTCTTTAAATTTTGTAAAAGTCAACATTGCATTGAGCTTCTTTATAGGGCCCTCATAGCTCGAATGTAGTGAAACGAAAAAGACAACTCTGCTGGATCCGCTGGTGGCAGTACCGAACTTCCACTCCTCAAGCCCTGTATCTACCAAGTTTTACCCAGTGGTATTTCATATTTTTACGATAGTGTTTGTAAACAGCCTTCCAGTTAGAAAGCACTTTTCCAGCCACCTCCTTTCATTTCAACGTGTAATCGTGAGGATGCAAGGAGCAGTACAAGGTGCAGCCAGCTTTGTGACTATACTGAAACGACTTTTACTTAGTAACCTATTAAAATTGTCTTCTATGGGAGGCTACGATGCAAAGCAGCAGTGCTCGCAGGTGGCTGCTCCAGCTATTGAAAACGATGGTCTAGAGACGGTCACGCTGATCTTTTCCGTTTAGAACCACTTGATCTCCCGTAACATAGCCAGTAAATGTGTCCAACCGAAACTTTGACAGTAAGATGAAGAAACACTCAGAGCCCTGTATCACTTCAGATGATTGCACCACTTTGGGAGATTACCAACGCTGAGGAAGGCACGGTGTGGAAGGCGGAACTCACCAATAGTAAATTTTCCCAGGACTAACAACCTCAGTGCCGGTTACCCGAATGAAAGAACAATCGCTTAGTAGGTACCATAGTTCAAGAGAGACTACTGCAAACACCACTCAATTACACTGAAACCCATTAAGGCTTCAGAACGTTCGAGTAGACTCACATCTGTTGAGATTGGAGCGGCCTGAGCGACGGCGAAGAGGAGGACGGCGGCGGCTAGGCTCTGCCACTGCATCTGAAAAGATGGCGTTGAAACTCTAGGAAACCCAGACAGCTGTGATGGAACTAGTAGGTTACTCATACACAGATACCTGGGTGATGAACGGCACAAAGATGAGAACTAATAGCAGAAGAAGAACAAAACCACAACCTCGAGGGAGACGATGTAGGAACTGAGCCGATGCCAACCCATGGCGATGATTTTCCCGCGCATCCTTTTAGATCACCAATATGATCAATCGAACGATCACACCAGGTTCTTGCTCTACAATTTGTAAATTCATGGAAATCACGGTAGATTTTCCAGCATAACCCAAATTTTCGCAGAGTCCACGCCTTCGGGAAAACCTGTAATCCCGCTGATAAAATCGGTCGTGAACTGGCTCCACTCCGGAAACTAGCGGTCCACCCAGTCTATTCCAGCCGGCGATCATGAACTTTGTA